AGATCTGGTCGCCTCAAACGACTATAACTTTGAAACTTTGTTTTCCCGATTTTTGTTGTGCTGAACTGATATAAAAACAAAGTAGGTACGATGAAAAAAAAAATCGGTATTAGGGTAAAGCCTATAATAAACTAAAACGTAGTGCTTGCAGCCCAGGGAGAGGGCCTAGGGGCCCAGGATTTCCCCAGATATATTATTTCTCAAAATTTTTTTATAATCCTACAGATCCTAATATTATTTTATTTCAAATCACATATATGTCTAATAATATAATATATTATACAAAGTGGATATATATAGGAAAAAGCAAAACTGTAAATAGACGTTTAGATTTAATTTATAAATATTATATAATATTAAATAATCGTTAATTCATTTATTACATTGATTACAAAATTTAAACTATGAATAAAGTAGATAGGTACCTATGTAAAAATTGTTTGGGCCCCTCCCCCACAGATCTTTGCTCTGGATCCGTGTCTGTTGCAGTCGGTTATGCATAAAAAAACGTAAAATTGTGAACTTTAAAACTAAGTTCTACTAATAAATTCTAATTGCTTACATCATTTTTCGATAAAAAAAAAAAAAACCGAAAATTCGCTTCAGCCCTACTCTAAACTAGATTTATACTAAATACATAAATATTATTTGTATTTGAAATTTCATTTTTTTTCGATATTTTAATTTTTAAATTTAAATATTTAATCATGAGTGAATGTATAATAAAATATTACTGCATTTGCATAGATGTCATATCCCTCTAATTAACATGGCCAAGCCAATTTTACGTTAAGAGGAATCTATTTTACTCGGTTATTATTATTAGAGTAATATTTGACCTATTATCGAATAGGTAGGCACAAATATTGTCAGGATCTTACACTACCGAGCATTTTAATTTCGAAGAAAGTTTGAACACACGATAATTATAAAATTTTAAATTTTAAAACATTATCAATAAAATTCAAGCGCGTGATTACTATCTATTGAAATGATAACAGATAATAACTGTGATAACACACGGTGTTCGCGTTTTTCATTTTATTCAAATCATAAAAAATAAAAACTACTTCTCATTAATCAATCACGATAATTAATGTTCGTGTATACTGTATTTCTGTTGTAGCCTGTAGGTAGGTACCTAGAGTTTTGTATAAAACTCGTCAATATCGTTAATTTCTAAGTAATGGAAAACTTAAAAAGGAAGCTTGAACAAAATTTTGAGTACACTGAGAAGTCAGTTCCTTTGGATATTATTACTGTGAGTTTCAGTGTTATCGAATCAAAGAATGTTAATAGGGTGAGTGTTAGATTAAAAGTGCTGAGTAACTTAAAATTGCTGAGTATACATTGTAAAACCATTTATGCATACAAGAAATAGCTACGGCTGGAAAATGCTGTAGTGAAAATCACAAAAGGAAAGCGAAGTCGGCAATTTGGGCAACTGCTATGCAAACAGACTACGATCATAGCACAGGTAGTATTGCATTTACATTAGGTGATAAGGTATTTTTATGAATTGGTATTGTATGATTTAGTTGGTGGAAAAGCTCGTGGAAGTAATACGCAAGCAGTCTTCGCGGCGCCATCGGTTCAAACCCTGAAAAAAAAAAGTAGAAAGAAAAACTAACAAAGTATTAGCTCATCCAAAAATGGCTATATTGGTGTGACTTATTCGATTACATTTTAAATCCATTTAAAATATATATGACAACAATTATGAAGATGTTACGAACCATAATATTACCTCTGGTATGTTTATTTACATTTAATATTGATAATTTTATTCAGTTGTTGGTTATATAGTTTTTTTTATTATTGATTATTCATTTTTTCTATAGGTACCTTAAAGGAGGATTATTTTTACTACAAATCACGATGAATCTACCCGTAATAACCATTTTTATACGACTGTGGGATGTTGATGGCGCACATTATAAATGATTATTTCCGACTTATAAACAAATTAGTTGGCAGGGAGTTAGACCACGCCAAGAGCTTAATTGTGATATACCACATAGTCTATTCTTGTTGTAAACAGAGTATATTTTATACATAAAACATTTAAACTTTATTAGACTATTCTTAACAATATTATAAGTAATTGTTTATAATACTTATTCAGGCACGGCGCCAAGAGGGGGCAAGGTGGGGCTTTAGCCCCCCAGAAAATAATTCAGCCCCTTCGCCAGCCACCCTACTAAATAATATGAACGATATAATAAAGTCATAAAAAATTATTTTTAAAAGAGCTATATCAGAGAATTTATGAAATATACTTTTTAAAAATTAGTAATATTATGTAAATACTTTCCTATTTTTGTAGATATGTGTTTTAAGTTTTTGCTGTTATGAAAACCGATTTAATAACATTGATATTTTATACACAAAAACAGAAGAATATTATTAACTTAATTTAATGTTTATTGTTTACAAGTAAAAATATTTTTAGTTTACTTATTATTTTTAATATGTTTAATTAATACACTAATATTGTGTAAGAAGTTACTTAATAATTAATAAAAAGAAAAGATTTCTTTAAGTGTCTATATTTTAATATATATCTATGAACTATTTTAACCTCCAAAATTCAACAAAAAATACAAAGTAGATTCTTTAATACATAATATATTATGCAAATACCAATTTAAAAATATATTGAACTAAAAACTTGAAATTTACTAGTTAAATAATATTATTAGGTAGGTAATCACAAATTTTTATTAAAAAAAATATTATTCCTACTGGTATTGATGCAATTTTAAACATTTTTGTAACTATTTTAACGTTTTAAGATTTTCAATCATTTACTGTTTGGTGCATAAACAGATATTGTGTAAAATATTAATATTTAGTTTATTTAATATATTTTTCACTACTAAATAAATTGAATTTAGTATAGATTATAATAATTTAATTAATGAAGTTTGAACAAATAACATCTTCAGTCTTTCTACGGTGGATTAACCTACTAGTCTAATAAGGGAAAAATCTACTACAATTTTAATAAAATATGTTTTGAAATTTGTAAAATAAGAAAAATCTTAGGCCATGTAAAACCTTGCCCCGCTCTGCCCTCCCTGAAAAAAATTCTAGTGCCGTGCTTGATACTTAATAATCTATGATGTTTCCTAAGATTGGTGTACTAAACTTTCAACTTATTATAGATACTAATGAGTTTGGAGAAAGTATTGTGGATGAAGTTGTGATTATTTCTAACTTTCTAAGGTACCATTAAAAATTATCATTTATTAACTTAAATCATAACTTTTTATGTTATTACAGGCTGTATTTTATGCCATTGATAAAAATTAATTTTATTACAAAACAATGATTGGTCTGAATACAACCCAAACTTACAATGATGAAGCCTTAGACAACTGCTACTCCTTGTCAACTTCCAGTACTAACTTCTGCTAATATTCTTCACTTCAATACTCTCACATGATACTAATATGCTGGAAAACATTCAGCCCCTAGCCACATCAACTTCTACTAATAAGGTCTGTACAGAAACTAAGATATATAAAAATAAAAATATATATTGTTTATAATGTGTTAATCATAGGAATAGCTGTATCAAGAAAAACTTATGGAACATCATTTTTCAATATTTAAAAAATGAGCATTGCTGATCCAAATAGAATATTCTTTGGAATAAATTCTAGTCAACTGATAGCTGAAAACTTTTGTTGCAAACAAAAATAAATTTTCAAAAGAAACCTAAAATAGGACTGTATACAATTGATTAGATAGGTAGATGTTTGGACCATTGTTAAAAACTAAAAAATTTTAAACATACTCAGTATTTACATAAAAAGTTGAAAATTACTTGGTACCAGCCTTTGCTTGACTTTTATAATTTAAGAAAACATATCAATAATTCATTTTTATTTAAATATTTTAAAATACTAATTATACATAAGATTAAAAATGTAAACAATTAATTATAATTTTATAATATTATAAATTACTTATTAAAATTGAAATGATAATATATTTTAATTATGATTGTTTAATCACCTAACCAAATTTTTTACTTTGTGTAATATTGCTTAAATATTATTGCTATTCCTGAAAAAAAATTTCACACTCAGAGTATGTAGTTAAACTCTGAATAATAATTAGTGATATTTGATTTACCCAATACAATATATTTATGTAATATTTTAACTCTTATAATAATTTTTTTTGAGAATATTTTTATAATACTTAAAACAAAACAATTTTAGATGATCTAGTTAAATTCTTTGAACTTTATGTAAATTTCTAGTTTATTTCTTGGAGTTTCTATTATGGAGGTACTACTAATGTTTCTTGTTGACTGTAACGTTGGTGATTATCTTCAAATTATTAAATTGTGTTAAATTTGTTAACACGAATGAATTGTATTTCATAATTTATTGGTCTACCTTTTTATATATATATATATATATATATATATATATAGGTGATATAATCTGTTATTTTTACTATTTCTTAGAAATAAGACATACGGATACAAGATATTAATATTTGTGAACATTCTGTAAGGTCAAATTAAGTTTAATTTTACGTATATTCTTATTGTCTTGCACGATTCCTAGAAGTTCTCAGTTTTTAGAATATATGTGGCTGAGTAATAAGTCTATGATATTGCTTTTTATGTATTTGTTAATTTATAGTTACTTATATTTACCACTATATTATTTGTTTCAATACTTTAAGTATTTCCTTGTCAACAAATCTAGGAAAGTAAACCATAAATTCTATATCAATTGGATCTTCCAATAATACTAATAAGTATTATTGAAATATTCCCAAATAAAACTGTTGTTTGGTCTATATAATATTACATGTATATTAAGTAAATCAAATGTTATTGAATATTATTTAAAAAAATATTGTAATTACATAAATTATTTTAATAAATTATGAATATTGGCTTTAATAAAAATATATCTTTGGAAGTTAAAGAATCAATTGAATATTAAAAGTTAATTAAAGTTGAAAATATTTAAAACAAATTATTTGATAAAAAATTCTATAGTAAAAAGTTATGGCTGACCTACATGCATAATAAATCTTATGAAAACATGGTTTATGAATCACAGTTAAGTGAAATATTTTTATTGGCTATGCAGTACTTACATAGATTTCACTGCCATGTCATCATAATTAGTACATATATTTTGAAATGGCAAGAATGAATATAAGGTAAACGTTTTTGTTTTATTTTTTTAGTTATTACCTTTATAGTTTATACATATTAATTTGTACTTTTTATTTGCAGAGACATGAATTTTAGCAGATGCAACCATACATATCAACGTATTTCAGCTCTAAAAAAAAAAAAAAAAAAAACAAATATCTAGTGCAATATTAGGTGCTACAATAAATTATATGTCCTATATGAAGCCTAATAAATTATGGTGAAAAATTAAAAAATACCAAAAGACAAATGTTAATCTGTGGTGTAGGTTTCTTTCTTGAAAACACCCAGTCTCGTACTAAATTTTTTATATTATCTGCTGTAGATAGGATACTGTCACTCTTTTATAGTTCTTATCTTGCACTCAGTGATATTACTTTTTTATTTGTTAAAAATACTAAAATAACATTATATCAGATTCCACACTATTCTCAAGTGTATTTAATATAAGAATAATACATCCAAACCATATCATTTTATTTATTTCAATAAATGTCCTTAAGGGCTCTAATAAAGTATGTTATACGATCTCATCTTAACATTAATACAATACTACTAATATTATTAAAATAGTACAAAACAAATAAGGTTTAAATAATAACAGTAATTAATAAATCAAGTTAAGTGAATCAAATGAATTAAAAAATTAATATTAAATAACTTAAAAACAAGGATTTTATGGATCTCTCTTACTAAATAAATCAAAATTTATCATCCTGGTCTGACCTATTGATAAATGAAATTATCGCAACCATAAAAATATATACAATTGACAATAATGTGATTGATATTAAGGAACATGGAAGTAAAAATGACAAATAATTTGAGAGAAGATATCAAATCATTTAATAATCAAGACAAAAAACAAAATACATATCAGCATACTTATGTCTATTAAATTAAGAATAGCTTGAGTTGAACAAAGAGGTATTAACTCAGGTGAGTTAATGTTAAAATGCAGGTTACGCTTAAAAACAATAAAAATCTTTGAACTCGATTACTTCGATTAGATCTGTTTGAGTAGGCGACAAAATTATGGAACAGTACTTTAAAATTAATCTAACTAAGGAAATGGACAATGTTTTAAAACATAGTTCATTTTAAAGTTGCTCGGTGTTTCTAGTTAACCTAAAATTCTTAGAACTTTTGCACAAATCAAAAAAATTTATATTATTCAATTCATATTTATTGAGTGGTAAAAGACATTTTGAAAACTAGTTAGCCATTTGACTAATGCCACTTTCTAAATCTGTTATGGTCATTTTGAATTTAACATTGGTCAACAAAGGAAGTGTGATCACTGGATGGTTTCTTCCCTCACCTTATTCATGTTTTTAATATAATGTAGCACATATTCTTATTATGCCTTTGGGTGTAGATTGTATATTATCTAATTAAAAAAAAAAAAAACATTGGTCAATAGCATTGATCTTAAGCAAACAGATGATAATTACAATATTTAATACAAGCACTTTATAATGTTCTAGCATATATTATTATGTTTTAATATACACATGGTTATACATTAATTAATTTTATTTGCTTAAAATTCTTTACTCTTGCTCCGCATTTTCTGACAGACTATGTGTTATGTGTGGAATGCATAAGCTAAATAATATTTTATGAACTTTTTTCTCAAATTGAAAATAGCATTTACTGCAAAAAAAGTTATGCATTTTCTGCTAGACTTTGTTTATAATTTCTTGTGCTACAAATAAATTTCAAATTTTATAATTCTTAAACTCAAATATTGTCATGTCATTACCAGATTCAAATGTTCTTGGTGAATCTATTATAATTTGGTGAAATACCTAACTTGTTTCAGATATTATTTTGTTATCCTCTATTTTAAACATATTTCAATAAAAATTTGATTTGAAAATTTCTTTGTTGCCAATTTGTTTAAGATGTATTTTATCAATTGTATTAATAAAATACTCTAATATAAAATTGTATAAAATGGTTAATAATTGTTCACTGTTGAAACTGCATCATGTATATTGCTGTATTGGTTTTTTGACTATGGAAAATGTTCGAATATGTATAGGTACCTACGTAACTGTTTGCTGTACCAAAGTTCAAAATATTTTTTCGTGCATAATACAAATTTAGAAAAGTCACTTTTGAAAAAAAAGCTTATGCACTAAACCTCAAATTAGGAAAAATGAAATAATAATAATAATGATAATAAATAAAATGTTAATATTTTAAACATAGGTGGGTACGTGTCTTAGTATAAATATAAATAAATGAAGAACAATATTTTTACTGTATAAATTATTTTTACAATTATTAAAGAAAAGTAGTATAATTAGAAATATAATTAAGATTTGTTTGGTTTTTTCCTTTAAAATGCATGGTTCTAATATTTTTTAATCAATAAAATTGTATTAATTTATTAATTTTTAAAAATATGGATTGGAACCCAAATTATAATAATACAAATTATTCCTAATAAAAAACCTTACAATTTATAACATTGTACCTACGTAAATGTGTTATCACCAAGGACAAATAACAATAACGTGTTTATATGTGTTGATTAATCATACTTTTTAACTATGCTTAATACGTGCAAATGCATAATACTAGAATTTAATGATAATTTTTTTTTACTTATGCAGGTGTGATGTTATGTGTTAATAACATTTTAATTGTATCAATTAATATAATTCAATAATAAAAATTGTAACTATGAAATGTACGTTACGAGTTAATATTGGTGATTTAAAGGCAGGTAAATTATATATTTTTATAATGAATGTACTTGTACAATTAGTTATTACGATCTAATGTCTTAATACTTATCTGGTGCGGACTGGCGGAAGTCGAATGTGAACACTTAAGAAGTTTTTCCATCCGGGATGAGGTTTATTCATTGCACGTAGAATCGGACATCGGTTGACCTCTGTAAATATCCATAATGGATACTTCGGGAGCAGAAATTTTGTTAATTAGGATTTAGAATTGAGCTAAAAATGTATTATTATAATATATTATACGTACCTATTTAGTATTTAGGTTATCTCATTATTGTACTCCAAAAATTTATATGATCAAATCACCATTAGAACAATACATATTTATATATTATATATTCCCTAATTCATAATATTATGATAATAATGTAAATACATATTTTTTTTAGATTTTGACTATATATATAAAAAATATTCTAACAATAAATTATTGATCATTTGCTAAAATATAATTTAATAAGTTATATTTTAGCAAATGAAATTTGGATTAAAAATCTAAGTACAAACATCTCAAATAAAACAATCGAATCAAAATTACGAATTCCAGCAAGATACATGGAATCTTGAAAAATTAAAATAATAACCTCCCGAATATAAAATTTGTGGTATCACTAACAATTAAAGACATTTTAATAAATGTAAATATTTTTAAGTGGATTTAACCCAAAATGTCACCAAACAGCATACAGTTTTGGTCCCTATCCCGTTAACTAATAGGTACATTAAAATCCAGTTTTTTAAAAAGATCCAAATACTTTATAAATTGTTCATGAGTCATGACAAACTATATGATGTGTCAGATATGTGAATAGGTATGTCTTAAATAAATATCAATACAATACAATTCATATAACGTTATGATAATAAATATTTGAGTTATCATATAAAGATTATAATTATATGCTATTATTGTGTTAGATATTATTATTTTGATTATTGTTACTATCCACATTGTCATTATTATTATTACTAATATTATTTGTTTTAAGTATAAATATTATTTTAATAATTTTATATTAGTTCTTTTAATCAATCCGTGTATACTAATGTACCAACAATATTTTCTAATTGAAAATGTTTAAAGTCGTATTAAATTTGTATTTGTTCTATAATTATTTATTTTTATTCATACCTATGTATTTGCATTCTAATGGAGATACTAGACAGGTAATTTTAAATTAAAATTTATTAAATTGATTAACTATAAATAAAAGAGTATACATAATAACTTATAATGTTGATCAAATTTATAAAAAAAAATGACTGTCAAATAATATTAAATATAGGTACCTAAACAAAAATAGCAATGGAATTTCAAGGATAATTTTTGTTTAAGGACATTAGGTAAAATGGAAGAGTTTTTAGTGGGCATTTAAGGCTATTTCTTCTAAAACGAATCAAATAAAATATTTTTAGTGTTCTGGTCAGAAGATAACTATTTCGAAAGCAGAAGTAAATGACGGTCATTATAAGCGAAGTAAGGTTAAGTAAGTTCAATATGACAATATGCTATTGTATGAATTATGGGACAGTTTTTGTATGAAATTAATAAACAGTGAAAATAGTTATTTAGAACTGATTTTAGAATATTATTTAGTTTTAGTATATTATTTTACCAGACTAAAGAGCAGTATTCTAAATTTCTAAATTGGAATGAGAGCAATTAAGTATTTTTAGAGGAACAGAATCTGAAAATGTGCAAAATGTATGCTTGGTAATGAAATCTAATAAACAAAATGTTCACCACAATTATATGAGAACTTAGTTTTCAATTACCTACTTCTTAGATTTAGATATACTACGGCAGGAATGTCATACTCAAAATATCAAGTGGGCCAAATATATTGAATAGTTTAGTATGCGACCCACAAAATTTAACGAAAAAAATTAATATTTTATACAAATTTTTCAATCTTATTCTTAGCGTTTATGAACACAGCAAATACAACTAAATTAAAAAAAAGTTAGCTTATCAGAAGATAAGATAGTATAATAATCAAATAAACCATTCTCTGAGAATCCAAGATAGTTATGACACGGCATTAATATTTTATTATTATTTTTTTTTTTCTATCCATTATACAAAAATAGTATTATTCGAGTTTGAAAAACATACAAATAACAGGTTTTAGCTAACTATTGTTTCGTATTAAAGTGACATCGAACGGTTAAAAACGAAGTTCTCTTCGTTTTATTTCGAAAACAAATTAATACCCTAACTAAGATTAACGACCGAGAGGTTCGTGACTGCGGGAAATAGTTTTTAACTAACAAATTATCTATGAATGCGTAGGTAGTGTCTCGTAAATTTGTATTACCATTTATCTGCACCATATAATTGTATTTTAATAATATCATCAACTATATTGTGTATTCAATAACCATAATGTTTTTACACGAATTAAACGTTATATCAGTCAAATTATACGATCTCGTTAAAACAGTTTTTATGATTAAAATACAATAAAAACTCTCCATTTAGCGACATGAAAACGTACCTATATAAAGGTTATATGTGTCGATATATAAACAACAGGCTAGGTAGTAGTTTCCTTTATATCTATGAACGACTGACATCAGAATATCAGGTGTGTACTCATTTAATATTTGAATTTACTTTGTATAATTTATTATTTTTAAGCTAAAAAAAATTTAAATATTATTAAATTATTAGTAGATTATCTACTCAGACAGTCAAATGAAAAGAACATAACTTAAGTAAACTATTGTCTATTACACGCAATTGATTGGTAACAATTAAACAATTAAATGTGACAATATTATAGTTTATTTATTACGATTTATCACATTTATTTTAGGTGTTCCGTTTTAAAAATATATTGCATTAATTATTTTATTTATACGTATTGTAATTCTCAACTGTAAAATAATTATTAATTACCATTAAAATAAGAAATTGGGCGACAAAGGAAAACAATATAGCCAATATAGGTATACACATAAGTACGATATACATACCAAATGATAATATTGATAACCATAATTATTCCAAGTATCTAGCTGGATACAGAGTCGTTAAGAGCGGGTGAGCACAACGGGAACATTTATTCCGGGTCACATTTCAGGATACTTTCCAGGATCTTCTAAAGATTTCAGGTGGATCTCTGTATTAGTTACATAATAACACATACGTAACTTAATTATTAGGTACAATGGTTAGGATCACTCGGCATTGATACCCATAGGAGCTTACTATTGCTAAAATATTTTTCTCTACGAAATTTCAATCACGCAATTTTATTTCGTTTCTGTAAGTAATTTATTCTCAATTATTATAGTACATAAACTGACTATACTTTTCAGTTATCTTCTTAAACAATAATAGTTGTCATTTATTACTGTCGCGGTGCCAAACGTGCAAAGATCAACTATAAAAATATTTAAATTTTTTCGTATAAATCCGTTATTGCAAGTATGGACATGGCGTAATAGTAGAATTGAAGAACGGTTACTATATAGTTATAAGAGTGTTAAAAAAGACTAAAAGTTCAATTAAGACCGATTTTGTGAGTTTCAATGATCTTGGTTGGTCAAATTTCGTGACATTTTACAAATCTCTGTGATTATTTCATCATAATATCATGTTATGGTGACTGAGTAGAGACCATACATCGATTTGCCTTTGATCCGAAACATTTTTTGAAATAGCTCTGGTCAGATATATATCTATTAAAGTATTGAGATTATATAATTTCGATATTTTATACTGTTCATATTATTCATTCAATCCCGAACGTGTTTTCTACCAGAATATGCCAATTATCATCACAAAAATCGGATAGAACTTCTAAAAACATAATAAATAATAATGTTCAATATTTTCATGCAATTGATTAAAAAACGAATTTTCTTCAATTTGGATATTGATTCTTAACACCTTTAAAATTTGATAACAAAACTAAATTGGAGGTATACTTTCATTATTCACTAATTACTTTGGTTTTAAAAATGAAAACATATTTATAATCATGAAAAATTTGGCTATAGATAGGACTGTTAAACTTCATATTTTTAATTTCAGCAATTCGTTTACTTTAATGAAGGAAATTTAATAATATTTGTTATTTACACAATCAAATTAAACGTAAAAAGCATTTTATCTATATGTCATTATATTTGTATGGAATACAGAATTGCTGAACTCGTTGAATAATTTAGCGTAAGTATCGATAATTGATTATTTTTTTTTGTTTTTATGTATTGAAACAGTCAAAATGTTTTCGAGTCTATTTTGGGTCGTATTGACAACGTTGGTCATGTTCAGTCTGGCGGCGAAAATAGTCGAGAACAAGAAAAAAGATTTTAATTACGTTATAAATTTCGATAATGATACAACGGACAATGACAATTCATTGAGAGCGATGCCATTTCGTCCCGAAAGTAAGGCAAACGCGACGAGATTTGACCAAACGATTAAAGTAAAAATTCATCAAAAACGTCACCAAGAAGACGTCAACATTACGACCTACATCGACGAGGTCGTTTCAAAGCTGTTTAAACGAATAACTGATTTCATCGGTTCATTTTTGAGTACTAATTGCGAAACGATGAGCGAGTTTCGTGCCGACGACGAAGTTTGCTTGTGCAAAAATACATCGGTTTTATATTACCTCACACGAAACGTTTGTTTTTTAATAAAAGTAAACGTTACCAGCATTGAAGGGAAAAACCATAGAACATAGTGTAGTAGTAGTAGTAGTAGTAGTAGTAGTAGTAACAGCTCAACCCAAATACATTCGTTCAACCACGGCAGATTTGACGACCTGCTCTCGATATTGCACAGACAACTCCAGCAGCAACCATAAACTAGATTCGAACAACACTCCCAAAGTAGATAACTTTTACGAAGTGCACACTGCAGTTTTTGCACGATCGTCTGATATTTTTGTACCTATCATCTACAAATCACGCCGGAAAACTATACACATACTCAATCTAATATCTAATTAATTATTCAAAGAGCATAGATTTACTATATTAAACTATTTCAATACGTATACGAATTTTCTTTGTATTATGTGTCAAAATAATTGCTTAACAATATTTTATGCTTTATAAATCGAATATTTCGCTTAACAATATTTTTTTTTATTTACAAAATGTCGATTAAGAGCACGACAATGTTTAGTTACAAACATTTAATTATTATTATCATAATATTATAGTCATCATTTGTTTTAAAACATTGTTTTTGTTTATGCGTTCTTTTTATAGGCACCAGGAACCTATTATATTTTATGAATTTAATGATTTTATGAATTAATATTTTATTAACTGTAATCTGAAGCAGTATATATCCCACGATAACTTATTAATGTCATTGATTTAAGAGTATTTATTATTAATAAGCGTTTATGAATTAAGATTCAGTCGAGTGAAGTGGAACGGCAAGGAAATGCTCTCGATATTTGTGGCAATTAATATTTAACAATACGTAATATTGATATTTAGGTATTATCAGTGGCGAATTAACCTTCTCGGAGCCCTGAAGCACGCTCAGTGTTTACCGCCTTTTTTTTTAATACTATCCAAGGATCGTAATTTGAATAGACCAACATTGGAGAGTGATAGGTAATCGGATATAGCCGTCCCGGGACTGAGAAATGGTTCAAAGGTATTTTGATTAAATAATTATTAATTTACAAATATTGTATTACATATAATCTTACAAGTTACAATCTATAAAATGATTACATAAAAGTATGAATAATTTAATGTAATTCTTTTCGAGCTTTTAATCGGGAAAAATCATTTATATATTTTTTTTTTTTTTTTGAGAGTAAAAATAATATAACATAAAACATTTGCCACCCCCTAAAAGTTGCCACCTTAGGCTCAAGCTTCACGAGTCTAGTGGGTAATTCGCCACTGGGTATTAGAGAAGGTAGTATTTATGGTGTTAATAATATATAATAATTAATAATAATACTATTATGTAGATATAATAATTATGGTATTAGTAGTTTTTAGAATAGTTACTATCATAGTAGTAATAATTATCATACTTTTTTAATTTTTATTCGGATAATACTTTTTCAAGTACAAATACAAATGTACAATATATAAGTAGGTACCTATTATAACAAAAAACTTCAATAAAAATATTAAAATTGTAAGAATATAACAATCAAATACCTAGGTATTGTATAACTTTAAAATAATCTAATCTAATTAATAAAAAAAAAATTCTACAAATTAATTTCTATTTCAAAATTCAGTATATTATATTTCAAAAAATCGTAGATAATAAAAATTATCAAAAGAATAAAAATGGATAAATTAGTTGAAACTTTTTTTCAAAAATATTCCACAACCTAAAGTAAATAAAACAATTATCCAAAAGAAAAATATAAGCCGCATAAACAAATAACAAAATCAACGATCAAAAATAACAGATAACAGGTGTTAGATCTCATGAATTTAGATCGATTGTTTTTAATAGAGGGTACCCCCTCTTTTTAACTTCAATTTGCTTATATATATATATATATTACCTTGTTTGTATGTTAATCATTAATTTTTCATAATTATTTTATTGTTTTTTTTGGCTTATTCCGTATTTTTACATAAAATAAATATCTCAAAAAGCTATGTTGGTCTACAATTCCAATTCTATGTTTTAATAGATTATTCTTTTTTTCTTTAAGTTTCTTAAATATTTTTCAGAAACTTTTAAACTATCCTATATAAAAAATTCAGAGACATACTGCAATTTTCGTTTCTTCTATAGTTCTATCATATCCTATTATGCAAATTTTGTGTGTCTCAAAGCATATTCATAATCCAATCACTTCCCAGCAATTCACAAAAACTTAAAATTTAAAATTTGATAAAAATTGTAGGTATTTTTTAAAATCACCTGCAATAGCAATTTTAATCAATTTAGTTGAAATTAACATTTTTAATTCACAGTATTGAATACTTCACGCTTAAGTATTTTACATTATAGTAAAATTTGAATACCTTATTGGTTGAATTTAAAAATAAAATACAAACAATAATAATTTTAATTTAAGGTTAACAATATTTACTTTTTGTCATAGTTCAAAATCACAATATAATTTTAAAGTTTAATAACAATTTGGTAAAATTATAATAATTGAAAAGCTTACTGCAAAAACCAAACAAGTTCAATCTTATAAAAAAAATGTATTTTTTTTTTTAATGAAATTAAATAAAAAAATTCTTACAAGTTGATACAACAACCAGATTAATCTTTTTTAAGTATAGTTTTTATAGCGAATGGGTTTATTTGGTTTTCCATTTTTTGTGCGAGAATTAGATAGATAAATATAAATATATATTAAATTAGTTAAAGATAAGATAGGTATTATTATTTAAATATTTTTCCCGTCGCTAATTGTTTTTAATGTTTAAACTTTAGCTAGAAATGCTAGAGTTTAATTCCTGCCCCTCAAAATCCATCTCAAATATGCCATTATAGTATAACACCATAAGCAAGATAAGAGATAATAAAAACAAAAATCAAAAATTACATGATAATTGTCTTTATTTTTGCACAAATATAATTATGTCAAGGAAATGTTTACATATCGAAACAATAAAATCTTACGTACTAAAAATTTCTAGTAAACTTGTATTTTGTTTACTATATTATATTATGGTATAATGTACATACATATGATTAACTAATATCAAATCAAGTTGGGTACATATTATAATATGCAAATAATTGAAAATATAATTTACATATTATTATATTATGTATGTATGAATGAATCAAATAATTTTTAAACCATTATTACGTAATATTATATTCTATTTACAATATTATAATGATATACAATTATTAAACTGTAGATCACAAACATAAAAATTAAGTATCTAGTTAACTAAAAAAAAAAAAAAAAATTAATAATTATAATATAATATTATTCACACACCCTTGCCACTTTTAGGAGTGTGATCTGAATTATCACAATGAAACTCAAATAAATAATTAAAGTTTCACGTATATAATTTATAAATATTTTAATAAATTATGTACAATGCAGGGTTTAATTTTAAAGGAAATCGTCATAAATCATAACAATTAAATGCTTTTATACGTTAAAAATAGATATTTACAATAAATAAAAATGATAATAAAAGTGTATAGATTTGCATGTAATAATTTTTTTTTTTTTTTAATTTTAGTTGTATAATATTATATAAGTGAATACTATATTAAATCCATGTTTAAATATTATCAAGTTAAAAAAAAAAAAATCTCGAAATAAATGGAATACGTTTAAAATCTCACACAAAAATTGTACAATAAAAGGTTATAATAATAATGTTTATAATATGACTGAAAACAGTAATTCAATTGCTAAGTAGAAATTATCAAGACAATGATTGATAAGTAAAGTTCAATTTTCCTAGTGCCGTAATTATTTTCATTGCTAGTGATTGTGGACATTTTTAAAAATAATTCTATACCATAATTCCTAATATTATCATGTATATTATTATACGTATATAATTTATATTTATATATTTATATATATATATTATGCATATTTTGCATATACAATTACAATATATAGATATATGTATACACACATTTACGTTCAATAATACATTCATTTTTTTTTTTAATATATATATATTCATTTATATATATATATATATAATATAATATAATAAATCACGGTTATTTTATACAAGTCATAAAAATTACAATTTTATTTTGGGACTAGTAAATTTAGGAACATTCATCAATGTATTAATAATATGTAATAAATGTGTGTATAAATATAGAGCATACAAACACTCGTAATATGTACACAAACGATGGGCAATAATAGCATACTCTTATCAGTACAGTCGTACAAATTTGAACGTATAGGCAAGTCATACTATGTCAGTATTTTCAATCCATTTACCAATATTATCATACTTAAATAATTGCGCTAAAATACGATTATCTACCTTTTTTTTTTTTTTTTTTTTAATTTTTTAATTTAAGTTTGTACACATTTTATTTTCATTAATTCAAAATTAAATTTTATCAATTATTTATTCTATAATTTACCGAAGAATTAAAAAAAAAAAAAATTTATAGTTATTAAGTTTCATATCGTAATGACATATTACGAGCATGTAATTAGTGTAAATTAACATGTCTGTTTGTTTTGTTTTTTACACAAGGTTACTGTGAATCATAAAATAATTTACAGGATGTATATAACTTAACTCAAGTATTAAATTTAAAAGCATTTTATTTTAACAGCTTTACAATCGATTTGATGCCAGTCAAACAAATGAACCAATTGGCAATCATTGTCAAAATTAAAATAGTAATACTTAAAATCTAGCAAAAAAAAAAAAAACTGCACCATGATTTGGTATTTTATATACCCAGAGATATGCATGATACATTTTTCATACAATAATACTTTTTTAAAACATAAATAATATTAATAGGTAGTAAAACACACAATGCTAATAATATTATTAATATTAATAAATTAATTAAAATTAACATAGTATTATCGTTTGTCACTATAATTATCTAATCTACACTATATATTTTATTAATAGGTCAATCACTTATATTCAGTAAAGGTTTAAAAAAAAAACATCATACTTATGTAGATTTAAGTTTAAAAACATTATTACAATAGTATTACATTATGATGTCAAAAAAATGTTATTATTGGTAGTAATAAAAGGTATATTTTAATAAATTTTTATCCAAATAAACACGAGTGAATAGTTATAGACACTAACTACCAAAAAATAAAATAAAAAATAATAGGGACAAATGATTCTTTTAAAAGGAAAGCACAAAAATGATAACTAAGATCACTAACAGTCCTAAACAATACATAGGATATACTAATAATAAACAATGATGCTAACACGTACGAATAATAAACGATGATCTTAACATAAAACAATAAAAGACATTTCAATGATTTGATCGTCATAATAAAAAATTAATGGATAATGGTAGATAAATACATATAGGTACATATTATAATATAAATAGATGAAACTTTGTGTTATTGTATCTAATAATAATGATTCATTAGTTAATGTCAAAATAGCAAGTACAACTTATTCACAAGTTTTAAAAACCCGTTTGATAAAATTAATAATTGACCAGTGTCATGGTCGACTTCGCTGTAATTCATATTATTATAAGAATGATTAAAGTCACGCATATACCTTATGAAGTATTGAATGGCATACGATGGTGAAAATTTAATTGATAATGAAAATTGAATAAAATACCTTATATTATGTACAAAATAGGGACGTCGAGTAAATATTTGAATAAGATTTCATTATTTCGTCGTGGTTAGAACAAAAATGTATCGATCAAAACCTTGACACAGTCGGTTAAGTATTGGAAATGGTTCTAATAGTAATAAAACAAAAGTATTTTTTAAATATTGTCAGAAAGGTTTTTTTGTTTTTATGTTTTTCAAAAGAAATATAGTGTTTACAAAATATTTTTTAAACCAATTCTAAAACAACGAAAAAAAAAACTCAAAAAATTAAAAAGGAAAATATTTTGTATACACCATTCCAAGCGTTTTTAACATGTAAGAAAACCCTTTTTGACAACATATTTTCAATACTTTTGTTTCATTCCTGTCTAGAACACTTATCGTTATAAATCAACACACGGCAGTTTTGCAATCGTTTTCTTGAGTGCCGCTCAAGAATGTCTTATAACATTATCATGACGCGTTGACGTCAAGTCATTGAAAAAAATAAAATTGTAGTATGATACGCTACTAGTAAAATAATAACATAAAAGTAATAATAATAGTAAAAATAATAATGATAATATTAATAATAATAGGTAGTAAATAATAAAAAAAAAAAAAATAAATGTATAATGCGATTTGAGTTTTATCATCGGTTAAAACGCAAATAGTCGAGTAAATGTTATGTGGCAAGACCTTCAGTGCGGTTCTGAGAAATGTGATTTGTGTGCGCTATTGGAGACGATTGTGGCGATGGGGGTGCGCAGTTGTTGAGCTGATGGTCGTCGGCAGACTTTAAGTTGACGGCCGTTTGCCGATCGTAGTGTAGATCCCAAAGCGGTGGTGTCCTCATGTGATGGGATGGTGGCGACGAAGACGACGACATGACGTTGTTCTGCTTGTCGGCGGCAATGCTCGACTCCTGTTTCATCATGTCGCCCGGGAACGTACTACCACTGCCGAAGTTGCCGAATCCACTCAGAATGCGATTGTTGACGTTGCTGTTAACGTTCTGGATTACGGATATCTCGTTGATCTGAAGAACGAAAACATGGTCAACGATTTAATAAGGATCGACGGTATGCCTGATAAAATAATAATTATTTTATATTGAATTGTTACTACTACATTAATAATATTGTTTAAATTCTATTAATATTCACGGATCGGAATGAAACAAAAACGATAGTTAGACAAAACGCATCGACAATAAACGGTAATCAAAACACAACAAAAATCAGTGATAAAATAAATAGCACAAATCGCAGTTGTTATTTGTAATAAAAATGTACGTATCACGACCCAAATATTTAACAGGTAGCGTTTATTTTCAATACGCATCATTTCAAAAACAAAAATATATCCAATAACGTAGGTTTTGTTTTTGATATTAATATTATTCATAATAACGTTAAAATATTTATATCACTAAATACTATTGAAAAATGATAAATAATAAAAAAAAAAATACCATAAATGGAACGTGCAATCACCTTTTGTTGATGGATTCCATTTAAAAACGGACTGGGTAGAAACGGATGATAATAGATTTCTGGTCTCCGCTGGAGGAAGTCTGTTTCTTTGACATTGTTAGCGATTTGTAACGGCGGAAGCTCTAGTGACATTCTCCGTCCTCTCCTGGACGTTCCATTTGTCCACATGTGCGTTCCCATGTGCACCTATACATTAATTAAATAAGCAGAGATATTAATAACACATACGCACACATACACATTTTTAATATGTAAAATAAATCTCCTCTGAGATACTAAGGTAAATAGCCGTCGAATTAGCTTACTTTGAGATTTCCTTTTGTCGTGAACGCTTTCAAGCACACCGTGCAACGAAATGGCTTGTCGCCCGTGTGGGTCCTCATGTGAATTTGTAGTGCGGAGGACGATGAGAAGTTCTTATTACACACGTGACACAAGTGTTTAGGCGAACCTTCAAAGGAACAAACAAAATAACTTTAGTTATTTCATTGTACAGGTAATATTTTAGTATCCGTTATAAATACACAGTCGGCATTAGACTTAAATGAAGTAAAAAAGTCCTAAATATCAAAGGTTGCAAAACGACAGCGATATTAGAACGAGTATAACTAGTATAAGATTTATAACTTATAATATTATAGATGATATTTCTTTGTATTTTGACGTGAAATGTTCAGTATAAAATAATACAATTTTGCGACGCAACAGCAATAGTGTAATGAGTTATAAAACAATAAAGAAAACGCTATGCAATATAGTCGAGACAAATACGATTTAACGATTATATTGATTTTCAAAGTCAATAAAAATTTCGAGTTTTGGGCAGAACGATTTCGTCGTTCGTGGCAATCGCCTATTTTGCCACTCAGTCGGGCGGAATCTTAATCTCTGCGGGTAACACGAACATAGAACTATAATTTTTAAAGTTTGCTCGTGACGGACGGGAGTCGTCAATCGAATTTCTGATAACGGCGATGATATTATTATTATTTTACGTAACTGCTACTACTCTGACTTACTTGGTTGTCTCTTGGCCGACGGCAGGCCAGCGTCGGGATCGGCCAACGAGCGTTTCGGCGACGACGACGAGGAAGACGACAGACCCCCCTCGGTAGCGGCTGGCGGTTTTCTGGAACCGGAGCCCGAGGCGCTGTACTGTTGCTGCTGCTGGCCGACGGCGGGCACGGACAGCGTGACCACCGGCTGGATCGAGGGATTGGTCGACGGCGGTTGCGACGACGACGGCGGCGTCTGAGCGGATGCGGCGCGTTGTTGCACCGGTGGCGGGGACAAGTCGGCCACGGACTGGACGGTACTGGTCAACGACGGGCCGGTGCACGTGGACGCGTTGGCCGACGCCGTGGTCGTGGCACTGGAAGCCGCGGCCATCAGACCGTTGGCGGGCTGTTGCAACACGACATGCTGCTGCTGTGGCGGTGGCGGTGGCGGTGGAGGCGGCGGCGGAGGCGGCAGGGCAGTCCGAGGCCCGGTTCCTCCGGTTCCCGCGACTGCTGTTCCTCCTCCGCCGGACGCCGTTCCGGACGAAGCCGACGATCCCGTGACCGCGGCCACGGCGGCGGCGGCGGCCGCTGCGGCGTTTTGCGCTGCTACGCTCAACAGCATGATCTGCTGTTGGTGGTGGTGCATCTGGTGCTGGTGGTGCTGGTGGTGCTGCTGGTGATGGAGATGATGCTGGGCCGCGTCCCGGCTCTCGGAGCTCGCGTTGCTGGCCGTGTCGTCGTGACCGCAGCTAGTCGAATTGTTGCCGTCGAACATGTTGTTCGACGAGCTGCCTCCGCCGGCGCCCGTCGACGACATGTCTCGAGTCTTATGCGTGAGCATGTGCTGTTTCATATTACCCTGCAACACATGCAGAATACATACTGAAAGTCTGTTTTACCACAATGTCGGTGTATCTATTTCATCATTTCGTCGGGTCGCGGGGGGGCAAAAGGGGTATTGGGGGTTGGACGGGGCGGTGAACCGGTGGACAATATATACGGAGCAAATCGTGTTTCAATAGTAACGAAATCAATATACCTGATATACCTGCTATAGGTGTACTTAAATGAAACGCGGTAACGGTCATCTCGTCACACGTCCCTTTGCACACACATATACTTTATGACGTGACAATATAATACACTTAGGGCCCTTAGGGGCGAGAGAGTTTATTACACGCCGGGCGATGACGCATACCGCATTTGGAAAAATCAATTTTCACACCTTCAAATACAATCAGTAATAATAACGTATAAAACCGCACGACGGAGGGAAGATATTTTCATAACAAACACTTGCACGCGATCCGACAAGAATATTTGCAATAATAATAATAATAATAGAGTCGTCTCGTAAACACATCTCCCCTATATCACGGCCATAAAAGCTCGTGTTCAACGAGTTTCGAGCCGCGTGCGTTTACCGATCTAATATAAAACCACTGGCAGTTCAAGTCGAAGGAGGGGCGTCTCAAATAATAATATTAAAAATTGACTAGGTATTGTTGTAGTTTCGAAACGACGTCTCAGGTGGTTATAATCGCCTGACGTTTCGTAGGATATGCTATTTGAAATACACGTTCAGTGACGTGACGATTGTGTAGTATTTTTAGGCGGCGAGTTGATTTGATTATTAGTTTTTTAATGTTGCGCTTAAAAAATACAAAACCCAATTTTTCGTTAGTCCGTGTGTATTATTACTTCTCATAGTTTCCTTTTCGCGGGCGTAAATGTCAAAAAGTGTACAATAATAGTGAGCCGCAAGAATGTTGCGGAATCTTTAAGACTTTTCGACAGCTCCATCGGTAACATATAGTTTTACCACTCTTGTCTACGTAATTATGAACGCCTACAAGTCGTTTTGAATGTAATTTCGGTAGAGCACACATTTCTATTCGTACGTACACACTTCGAGGGGCACCGCAGACGTCGTGCGGTTTCGGTTTACAAATAGATATGTAATACGATTATTAGTCCAATGCATTCGCACCGCTATAACTCTCTCGAGCTGTATAATATTCACGAAAAATGGCCACGAGATAAATACTGTGAATAATATACGAACAAATGTTTTGAAGACGCCTTGTTGAAATTTTTTTGTACATTAACAGTAAATGCAAGTTAACGCAGATATGCTATACTTATTCTTGGAGTAATTTATTCATATCGTTGAGATAAAACATTTTATCTGTAGACATAATGAAAAAAAACCCAATTTTGTGGGTTCTACTCATACAGGTTTTATGTAAAAATAATTATTTTAAAAGAAATTATGATCGCTTAAAAATGGAATATACAAGTTTAGAAAATTAAATAAATACCATGTTACAATGAGACGCTCATAAAATTTTTATTTAAATTTGCCTATACTCGACCCCTTAAAAACGCTATAAGACATCCTCTTTTAATATTGTCGTTTTATAAACGAAGTGGTGGAATCTTTCCTTCGACACTTCTGTGGTCAATCATTTTAATTTATATAATTAAACGAAAATTGCATTGCAGAATTATTACTGTGGCAATAATTAACTTAACCTACAACCTACACATACGATCAAAAATCAACATACTTTTACGCGATGTAATATATTTACATAGGTAAATTATAGTGTAATTATATATAGTGTAAAAATTATTAGCTTTCGAAAGACAATAATTATAGAGTAACATATATCAGACATAATTAAAATTGTAAATTATCACTAGCTAATTGAGAATTATAATTTATAATAATGGACGTTTATTTTTTACTATATACAATACATGTCACAGAAAATAGTAAAATGAAAATAGTATTGATAAACTCATTTGATTAATTTCTACTATTCTCAAATAAGATTTGTGATTTAATGCAGGGAAGTCAAGATTTAAATTAATTTCATACCAAATACAGCACATGGTCATAGATCGTAACAAAATGATTTTCGTCGCGGGATATGAATATGGAAAACATAATATCATAAAATAACATACATACGTAAAAATATGTACATAAAAATAATACGGTCAAAGGTAAACAGCGTGAATCCGGCCAAAAAATCCAATCACGCATACAAACCGTCACACATTTTATTGTTTTCAATTAAAAAAAAATTCCATTTCCGTGTATGATGATAATGATGATGATGTGTAATAAGTTGACTAAAAACCGTCACTTTGCCGTCAGCAATATCAAGTGGAAATAATTTCGAAAACAACATTATAATATATAGATACACATGTACACATACACACACACACACACAAACACACCACAGTGAAATGGAAGTGGTACACCTCTGCAGTTCGCAGAGTACATTACTACTAAATGAGCATCCCAGCGAAACATATTAAAAAAATATAGGTATCCAAGTGAAGAAAAAACAAAGAGAAAATTAGTAATAAAAAAGAGCAACATTATTTTACACGAGAAACCGTATAGAATAGAAAGACAAAAAAAAAAAATAAAAACAAATTGCACTAAGAAACATAAATGACTGTGGAAATTAATCCACGTCACTGCCGTTGAATTTTACTGTACGTTTTATTCTGCGAATGGAAAAAAAAAACGCGATGAATCGTGAAACAGAAAATAGTAATATGCTATACAAGACGTATTATGTGTGATTTGAAAAATGACGGATGTATGTGACGGATTTGTGTGGAAACGTTTTCGATTCGGTGCTGTAGACAGACAACGATGATGATCTCAGCGATCTCAGTTCGTAATTATAAGTCATTTTTGTCGTTTCCATCGTCATACAACATATTGTTATGGATTTGACGATCGGTCTAAAAAGAGACGCACGCGCAACGATATCTTAGTGTAGGTTAATGATACGAATAACGTATAAAATTAACTACGGCCATATATACCTACAATGGGTAAAGATGTACTGGATGTAGTACCACCTATACGGATAACACAATTATTTACGTAATAATGTTTTTAAATAGTTAAAGAGTTGTTATCAAAAAACGAGTGATATTGTTTCGTAGTAATTATGTAACACTATCAAAAACCTTAAATTATAAAATGTCAGATTTTTATATATTATGTTAAACAACTAAAACAATAATAAATTTTAATGAAGTAAAAATAGTAATAATACTTAATGTAAAATAAAATTGCCATCGCTTTAAAAAAAAAAAAAAAAAAAAAATGAGAGTCGTGGGACATTGCCGCTTATTTCTTAAATGCGTCATCGTGCATACATACTTGTATATTATAATGTAATATAATAAGTATATGCTAAGATAAATTATACCCTGTAAGGCTGTAAATGGCTTAATATCATAATTGCTCGTTGTGTAATAACGCGTGAGAGTAATAACATTTTATAAAATGTATTATAATTTATAGGTAAACGTTGTTTTTTTTTTTATACAAAACTTTAATTATAAAATATTCTGACTTGATAATACTATACACGAATATAATATGACGGTAATTAAATTAATGAAATGTGACAGATACGATTATGGGTAAGAATTAATAATGTTATAAATTATTATTATTTATTATTATTACATATACCTATAAAATATTATACTTGGAACTCGTAATGACCAATACAAATAAACGTTATTAAATTTGTTTAGATTTATTTAAGTTTATTTGAAATGATATGATTTTTTATGATTTTATTCAACTCATTTACTTGACGAAGTAATAATAATTGTATTTTTTGTATAAAATATAATTTATAGATAATATAATTTCAGGTGAACTCCTACTCTAAAGTCACTGAAATTAAACATAATGAAATTTATGAACAAACGCTGCAATTATTGCTACGTATTATTAATACTATGCTTTAGTACTATAGTTTCACAATAATTCACATTGCGCTACCTAAAACGAATTACCTAATTTTACGAAACTAGATTAAAAACTGTAATTTTTTTTATCAATTTTCTAATTTCTACATAACAATATTATGTAAAAACAAACTAGCATAATATTCATTTATTAGTAAGAATTACGTAATTAGTTATTTAAAAAATTAAATTATAATTATATTAGGAAATTATATAATATAGGAGTAAAAGAAAAGATACTAAAAATAGCATTGAAACAATGAAATATGATGATTCGCATTTAATTTAAATTTATGTGCATGTTGTCAAATAAATGGAATCGTTTGTACCGATTAGATAACCGGTAGTAGTGGTCTATTGTTTTTGCTGTTTTTACATATACATTTGATATTTGAATATTTAAAGAGAATATTATTCGTCTTCAAATACGAGTAGCAAGTCTTTTTTTTCCGGTTCGTCGATGTATTTATTTTTAAACAAGTAATAATAAGGTTTTGTATTGAACACTTAAATTATTTGTGCACGTTAGAGAACAATTCGAAAAATACAATATAAATAGAAATGCATTATAAAAAAAAAAAAAAAATCGCGATGAAAACCGCCAAGAGAAATTTAAATAATGTTGAAATGTCCATAAAGGATCACATCTGGCGACTATTTCGAAAAGCGGTGATATGCAACTGCACGTATTGTTATAAGAAAAAAATGTGTAACAAATATAAATATGTTTATTTTTTATTTTAAATTTTAAATTAGCTTATGTACTTGATATTATATAGTTACATAATTATATATAATATAATAATGACAGCCAAAATATCTGATTCAAGTTGGGCGTTTGGTTATTGAGACTGTTTAATGACAATTTATATTAAATGATTGTGTTGTATACGTATGAATCCGAATGTCAAATATTAATTTATTTCAAATAACATTATTTTTTAACAACACGCCGGAATCGAACACAAGACCGTGGGATAAAAATGAAAAACGTTTCAAAATATTATTCTACTCGCTTTCGGATGGACCTAGAAAAACGTAAATGTCAAAATAAAATTCACATAATATGCATAAAATATGAACGTCCTAGTTAAATAAATTAACCAACACACACAATGCCGTTGACGTTGGAACGCTCGATTATTTATATTCCACGATGATATACATAGTTATGGGTATGTATAGGTAAAGTAAAAGTGTAGAATTTTTTTTTTTTTATTTTATTTTATATTATATTTGTACGTATTTACTATTTAGATTAATATCGTTATTCCTTTGCCCGTAAAAGCAACAGGTTTTTTTCTCACTATTTGTTGAGATGGATCGAGGAATTAATCTATTATTCAATTGCCAACAAAACGACAGCGGGGAAAATGAGAAAATATAGTGCGAGAACGTGGCTTTCTCGAATCCGCAACGATGTTACCTGTCACAAAAGCGAAGCGTACAGGTATACTACACCACCACTTGGATGTATCGAGATGCTGACCAACAAGCGTAATATTATATTAATATTATTATCTATCATCGTGTTATATAAGGTAGAGCCAAAACGGTTGATTAAAATCCAATCGACCATAAAAAATTAAAAATTGGTTGGTCAATGATTTATACACTTATATATACCTAGTTGTTAATTATTGTTAAAAAGATAATAATATTAATATGAGAAGCGGTCGATGCATTCAAATAACAAAGCAATAGATACGAATGTACAATACTACATAATTTTATTATTAAGAACGAAACTCTTAAAAACAAAAATAACTGAACTTAAATAGTCTATTCAATTGGATCTATCTATTTTATTTTTCATATATTTTCACCGATATATTTTATTGAACACGTACATAGCTAAAATAAAAAAGGATATAAATTATAAGTAACTGAAATGATCGGAACCTCCTCACTTATAAGACTATACCTACATTAGAATATGAAAAGATATTGATTTTAACTATGAAATAATAATCAAGTATAGTTAAAATGGTATTGTTTAGTATCTCATATTATGTATAATAAAATACGTATCGTTATTCATTCTAACAATTGTACTGTCATTTTAGTTGTCTGTATGAAAAAGAGATAGACCGTAGGTTTTTTTTTATGAAAGAGAAGATGCAAATAACTGTCAATTGACAAAAAAATGATCGTTTGTTAGAACGAAAAAATTAAATGGTTCCAGTCTTCACTGGAATATAATATATATATATAGTATTAACCACGAACAGGAAAACGATCTTTTTACAAGTATTGTATGCACTCGAACAATACTTTTCAAGCAGTGAACAACCTCATCTCCTAAGGCCGTAATCGATTTTACAAAGAACACAATACAATTTAGCACCGATCGTTCGAGAGTATTTTTTCGTTTAATTTTTCCGCGACGAACTGTTGATTTTGACGAATAGGAATAGGATTTTGGATGGAATGGTGAACCAGTGAACAACGGGGTATGGATATTTTTTTAAGTGCAATATTATGTGCCATTTATATTTACGTCGAATACACTTACTAATAAATAATTATTATTACATATAATCTGAAGTGTTGTACAAGCAAATATACGGGACCAAATTAATCATTAGAAATTATTTAGGAATTGTGTCTAAGACCTATAAAGGAAAACACTAGTATATATGACTTAAAATCAAATTATATGTTGTGGAAAATTTAGGTCAATTCATATTTTTCATATTTTACTGTGCACACTTTTATGTTTTAAAAATGTGGGCTCTATTCAGGTGGCTATTATAAATAGTGCCATCGGTCCGGTGATTCAAAGGCCAACAGTTTAGGTTCCAATATTTACGAATGCTGTGTTATATTATCGATTAATGATTTATGATTCAGTGTCGATCGTACCTTTGTCGAGAATCCTCGGTCGCACACGGTACATTTGAATGGTCGCTCTTTGGTATGGCTTCTGTAGTGGATCTCGAGAGCAGAGTGGCACGCGAACGTTTTGAAACAGATGTTGCACGTGGTATTTCCTCTAGCTGCTAAAACATACACATCGGAAATAATTATTTTGCATAATTTTTGTCGCGCACGTGGGGTAATAAGTAACCACCCTGGCACACAAATTTTAAAAATAATAATAAAATATAAAATCTAAGCACCCGGTTCAACAAGCCCCGTCAACGACGGAGCGTGCGCCTGATAAGTACCCTGCACATGTGACAGGCGGTAAGAAGACACAAATCAAAATATAAATAATAATAATAATAATTATTATTATTATTATTATGCCAGATGATAAAAAGAGTTTGCATCTTTTGGTGGAATACCTTACATGTTATAATGTCATCAACATCTCGCGTTACTGCGAGACATGATATAATGTTTTAGATTTTTTTTTCCTGAAATGTGATTTTTCTAAAATACTGTTTATGTGCAAGCAAATGTTTCAAATATTCGTTTCATCTTGTTTTTGGTATAAAAATAACTCACATCTCACAAGTCACGACATTCGTTTATTTATATTTTATTTACTATTTTAGATTTCGTGCAGAGCGAGGGGCGGTTTTACAATGAAGTGTACTCTATTTTTCTTTCGGTTAACACTTTTTGGGGTAATAAAAGTTTCAAATTTTTCATGTATTCCACTAAATCAAATAAATTGTATACAGATGGTACTTATAGACGTCATTTTCGGAAAATATCCCAATAAATTACTAAACGTATTTAGTTGACTGCGAATAAACGGCGGAACATACATAGAAAAACCCGTTTTCAACGATATGTTGTCCGTTTTGAGTAAACCGAATTCACGTTGGCAGAATGGTTGTTGAGTGCTAATTAGTATGATTTATCGTATTGATCTACTATTGAAAATAATTTTATACTAGCTTTTAGATGCCAAGGTGAGCAAACTGAATGAATAAATTATAATAACAATGTACTAAACCTACACTACTTTCCACGTCTCATCGCAGATATACTTTTTTTATAGCAATATTTTAATATATTACAATATATTTTAAAAAAGTGTTTAAGCGAACGAAATAGTTTATAGAAATAAAATCGGAGAATCATATTTTTGATCGTTGTATTAACAGAATGAGTAAACACAATATACATATTATTATAAATATACAAATACATATTTAAAGAATATTTTTTTCGTGTTATAATTAATGAAGAGATCGGTTTTATATTTTTAAGATGTATTATAATAAAATTAAATACATTGTAAATAACTACATAATATATGGGATTCATTAATTCGGTCAAAGTCAGCAACATTATATTATTTCTTACCGCATAATAATATAATAATTGCTGGAACAAAAGCAAAAAATAAATTTTATAATAATTATTCATATTCATAGGCCCTCGAAAAAAACTGTGCTGCCTAACTCAGACTCATATTTTCATATTTTGAGATTTAATAATTAAATATAGGTATAAAATTGTATAACAGAACATGTTTAGTGGCGTAACGTAACGTTTATTGATTAATTAAGTATATTGATATTATCACTCTAGAGTTGTTTATTTATTTTGAGATCTCGGATGATATCGCCAATATTATAATAAAATAATAAATTTATAATACTATAATACTACCGTAAAACCATTTAAGGCGGGTTTAAAAGTTTGAAACTTATTAACAGATATACTCAACAAGGTTGCGAGAGTATGAAAAAAAAATAATATTATTGAACCACACGAAGTACTATCGGCGAAAATTTGAATATTGTGTTTACAATAATCTCATAAAATTCTAAAGATGTTATAAACGAAAATCACAACAATGTTTGTTTTTTATCTTCTCTAAATTTTACCATTCATTATTATTGACTAAGACGTCTCAAACGTGTATAAATCCGTGTTAATTTATACCCGACGGCAATGATTTCGAAATAATAGCGGGCAAACAAAATTCTTTCACGCGTCGGCAAGCAAAATAATTATAATTTATGTTTTTAATTAAAAACAAAAAAAAAAATATGTGTATGTAAATACCGATAATACATCATTCGGCGTGTAAAGGCATAATGAAAATAATAGTAACATTATATTACGGTGTTTTAAAAAAAGACATGTGACGCACATGTGGTCGGTGCTTATATACGATAATAGCACGATAAATAATGGCAACGGCGTTTATAATTACTTATTTATTCTCCACAAAAACGATAAAATACAAGGAACGTCCGATGGAACAACCAACGTAACAAAGGAACGATACTACGATTTATCAGTTGGGTGCGTTGAGAATAATTTCCATCGTGTTATTATCATCGATAAAATATTATGCGGCGGCGTGTGTATCGAGTGCACCGTGAAATGGATATTAATCGAGTAAAAAAATAAAATTCAATTAGAACAAAAAAAAAAAAAAAAAAAAAAAGGGTTTCCAATGAAATCTCGGAATACCATTCGCGTTTACGAAAAAAAAAAAAAATTGAAATGTATCGGCCCACAGGACAGAGTGTAGGCATCTCATCTCGTCACCGTGTACAATAAAAACTTCAACTCGCTGTACAGTTTATTATTGTTAGTAGTAACTGGTAATATTTCTATTTATACATGTCGAATACTACTACCACGATTACTAATTTTAATACTACGCGTACCTAATGTTTACACCAAATCATAACACATCTGTTATTATACTAATTAAATCATTTAATTAGAAATTAGATTAGGTGAAATAATATATTATTATAATTATCTTTTTTAAACTACTTGATTGTATTAAAAATGTGTTATGATTATGATGATAATAATAACAATTTTGTGCCCCCTCCACTTCCGCACACGGGTACACGTGCCTGTATCGTACGCCATTTGCCAACAAAGAGAAGACAAATATTCGATAGTAAAATATTATGTGCAATATTATTATAATATTAATTATTAAGGTGTCAACTAATGGATACGTATTACATAATGCTTATTATTTTGATAGCGTTATTATTGAATATCGCGGCTAATATTATAAATATTATAATATGATATTCGGTTCATGAATGAGAAGATTCCGAGCGCTCAAATTTAAAATTATTTTTATGATCATCATTATTTATTATTTGTTATTTATTATTATTATTATTATTATGCACACATGGTTCTGAAAGCTTGTTTCGGGCGGTAGTCGGCAAAAAAAGAAATGCTCGAGATTCTATTGATTTAGTCAACAAAGTGACAGAATGCATCTAAATATAAAACTTAATGACGCGATGAACATTTCAACGTTTTAAATGTCAATGCATTTTACCAGACAATAATGCGATGATAATATAACATAAGGAATTCAGGCGTGATGTATGCGACGCGTTTTTCATCCGAGCGTGCTTGACACGGTGCCAAAAAGTGCGTGCAATTTATTCTCCGGACGAAAAGAATAGTTATTTTACACGAATTAAATTGAATTTAGAAAAAATGTGTACGATCGAGAGTGTCTATTCATAACTGCGCGCAATGGCAACACACAATGGCACGTGATGTGCGCGGTGATGTTCTAAAATATAAAAGTCAACGCCAAAACAATAATAGCGACACGAACAAAACGGATGTCTTGGGTTTTTTTTCCTTTAAAGATTTTCCTACAAATAAACGGCCTGTGACACTTACCGGATGGTCCGAATGATGGCCCATGGCCCGGAAGTCCGGCAGTGGAATTGGCGGAACCTGACATGAGTCCGGCGAACGCCGGTGGCAGATATGCGGACATAATGTGATTGGCAGTAGTGGTCAATGCCGACTGTTTGGGTGTTAAATCCAGGGCACAAGGTGGAGAGTATCTGCTGTTGTGGAACGACATCGATGCGGGAGATCCGGCCCGGGAACCGTGGTGTCGTGAAGACGACGACGTCGGCCTCGGCGAAAATGACTCGTCCGAAGTGATAATTGGTGGGCTGGCCATCATTACTCTACCACCTGAAATCAAGAGATTACGATATAAAAAGAGTTACAATTTATTTCATGGTAATCGGTAAATCCACGTGATAATGTATTCAAACAATAGGTTTCAAAGGTTGTAATCAAACTAATAGGTTTATAAGGTTGCAGTTATTTGTCTGGGCTAGTCGGGTGGGTAGTTAGCTAGTAGACTTAAATACAAACATTTTTTGAGTGAACAAATGTATTTACTGCATCGCTAGAGATCTTATATTGTCAATAATTGTTACGCAAAATTAAATAATTAATAATAATAATAAATAATAATTTTGTAAATCAATCTATATTACAGTAACGATTGTCAAATTAACAGTGTAAATAATAAAATTATCATTGATTTTTCATATAATCGTGGTAACAAAACGGTGTGCATAAATCATAATATATAGTAAGTAATAGTTACGCCCGTAGTTACGTTTAAGGTTAGGTACATATTTTAACGAAGTATCGCTAAGAATGATGATAAACTACAACTAAATACAATAATATTCGTGCATGTGTATATTTAACGCATAGTTTTAACTACGTGTAACTATTAATTATTATATTATGAATTATTTACTTTTGTTGGACAGGTTTTCAGGTTGGTCTTGTAACCCGTCATTCATAGTGGGGCTGTTGGTCCGTTCCTCTTCGCCACTGTACTTGGTATCGACGCTAAAATCGTCAGTGTTGGCATCAATATCGTGTTGACGTCCATCGGCGTCAGCCGAGTCGATATCCACGGCCATATCGTCGATGTACTCGGAGGATGTAGGGTCATCTTTGTTGTTGCGTGTCATACTGGAATCGGATAGTGGCGGAGGAGACGGAATAGACGATTCACGTGATGAGCAACCAACGTTTGCGGGTTTACTCAAGTTCTCGGGTTGCTCTTGTTCGCGTTTGAACTGAAAGAGTTGTAGCGATGACGAGTGATTATTCGACAAGTGATGTTGCTGCTGCTGCTGCTTGTGGTTGTGTTGGTGAACATTGTGTTGTTGTTGGTGATGATGTTGATGATGATGGTTTGTCATTAATAACTGTTCGGCGGGTTGCTGTTGTTGTTGCGAAGGCATTTGTATGTTCGACGGAAGTGCTATGTCTGTGGAGGACGACTGATGCTGTTGTTGCTGGCCGTGGTGGCTGCCACTTGGTCGGAATAGATTGGACAAAGCTGTTGGGAATGACGAGGCGGACGAAGCGACGGAAAACTGATGAGACAACGGAGACCGTGGTGTAACGGCGCCAGTGGAGCTGGGTGGCATTTGTGAGTTGCAACCGTTCTGGTGGTGTGGACTCTGGTTCAAGTGCGATGGCATTAGAGCCGGGAAGTCTCTATCTAGGTGTTCGGGAACCGGTAACGGGTTCATCTTAACATTGGGAAATTTTGACGTGTGTCTCTGGAAATGGACTTTGAGATTGCCCTTAGTGGTAAACCGACTACCGCAAACGTTGCATTTGAACGGGCGTTCGCCCGTGTGCGATCTGATGTGTATCTGAAGAGCCGAATCACTGCCGAACACTTTGCCGCAATAACGGCACCTGTGCTTGTAAAAGTTGTCGCCTCGGCTTCCGCCACTGCCGCCGGCGGATTTACCGTCGTACGGCGACAGCGAACTGCCCTTGCCACCGCTGCCCGAACACTTCCTGAACGAGAGCTCGTCGGCGAGATTGTTGGTCAACATCCCTTGGCTAGCCTTGTCCAGCACTTCTTGGGCGCGGCGCTGCAGCATTTCCAGCGAGTTGGGCTCGCTGGGCGATGGTTCTGGGTCCAGGTTGGTGATGATGGACGATGCGAACGCGGACGAGACGGAACACGACGGGATGGAATGATGATGCGTTACGATTGGCGAAGAAGTATACGGCGTCAGTGAAAACGACGTCGATGACGACGACGGCGGCTGCGGCGGCGGCTGAGGCTGAGACTGGACCGGTGCCGCCGGGGTTGGCGGCTGCGATGCACTCTCGATAATCGCGATCTTGGAGGCGTTCGACGCGAGTGGTTGCGACGGCGGAGGCGGCTGCGGAGTTTGTGCCGCGGACGCTTGCAAGGCTTGCAGTGGCGACGAGACGGGGCACTGGAGGTCGGGCATCATTATGGCCATGATCGATGAGGGCGGGGGCGTCGGCGAGCGTGAGACGCACGGCGACGGAGATCGGCTGAGCTGGAGCAGTGGCGTTTGCGTGGTGCAGTCGCCGGTCGACTGTTGTGCAGACATGGACATGGGCACGGGGACCGGGATGGAGAGCGGCGTGACTGCGGGCAACAGCTGTTGCGGGGCGGGCGGGGGCAGTGGCGACGACCGTCCGGCCTGATGGTGCTGCTGTTGGACCATTTGGTGTAACATTTCGGCGCCGTTCCGCGATATGGCCAACAGCGACATGGGTAATTCGTTGGGCGACGCGGACGCCGCCGCCGCAGCCATGGCGGCCGACATGACAGCGGCGCCGTCGTCGTTGCCGTCGCTGAGCAGTGGCGGCGACACGGACAGGGTGCCGTCGACGCTCCCGGTACCGCCGCCGCACCGGCGGCTTATCTGCAACTGTTGGCGGAGCTGTTGGATGAGGCTCAGCTGCATCATCTGCTGGTGTTGCAACGTGAACAGCGACGAGTTGACGATGGCCAAGTCTTGCAGCACGTTCTGGTTGCTGACGGCGCCGTTGTTGACGGCCATCGCGGTGGCCGCGAATTGCGCCACGGCCACTTTGGTGTGTTGCAGCGCCTCGAGCGTCACGTGGTGACCGGCGGCCGCAGCCTGCTGCTGCTGCTGCTGCTGGAGCGCGGGCCCGTCGGCCGCGGCGGCAGCCGCCTGCACGGCCGCTTGGTAGGCGGCGAACGGAAATCCGGCGGCCACCATTGCGGACGGGTCGTCGGCGCCGGAAATCCCACCGCCGGCCACTGCCATGTCGTCGCCGCCGACGACGGAATCTGGCAGGCCGCCGCCGCCGTACCGGCGGTTGTTGTTCTCCGCGTCCTGACGCTGTCTGCGCTGCTCTTCGTGAGCCTTATTGTGGTTGTTGTTGTTATTGTTGTTGTTGTTGTTAATGTTGTGACGGCCGCTCCTCAGATCGGCCACGGCCATCGCCTGCAAACCGGCCGCGTTGTAGTGGTGCCCGTGACGGTGATAATCGTCCATGTCGTCCATGTCGTCCAAGTCGTCGACGACGTCCTCGTCGTCGTCCGCTTCGTCGTCGTCTTCGATGTCATCGGTATCGTCGTGATCGTTTCGAGGGTCGAAATCGTCGGACGTGGCCGCGTTGTTCGCGACGCCGGTGCGCAGCACGCACGTCTTGTTGTGCTCCGAAAGTTCGGAAAAGCTCAGAAATCCCATGGCGCATTGCCTGCACGTGTTCGACAACTTTCTCGGCAACTTTTCGCCGTGCATCGGCCCGTTCTCTTCGTCGTCTTCATCGTCCGAAGTCATCGATGTCGCACCTGCGCAACAAAACGAATACACCGACATTAATATCGCAATCGATCTGGCCCGAGGGATCTGACGCGTTTTTAATAAGGCGTTTTCTGATTTTATTGCGCACGATGGGACTTTGATGGCAACGCGCCCAACACCTAAAACGATCGCGGCTGTGCAGAGCACTTAACCCGAATCTGCTTCTCTTATCATGCTATATTGGTAGCAGACTAGTATAGGTACCTATTGCGCAAGGCTGTTGTTTTTTATTTTTATTATTATTATTATTATTATTATTATTTGGGCGAAGGGAGGTGACGAAAATCGACGGCACCAATCGTGTGAGATCACAGATTAAAGGGATCGTTACGTAGTCGTAACGAACAAAATAATATATTAAAAAGAGACAAACAAACAAACCCCGCACACGACAATACATTAGTATACCCGCAGAGATACGTCGCGAGCGTAGCAAAAGGAGAAAAAAGGAAAGAAGATAAAAAAATGTGTGGTTAATTAAAAAAAAAATAAAAACTTTTGTATGATTTAAACACTGCTCGACTCTCGTTTAATTTCCGTTAAAGTCTAGACGTCATTAATACCAATCTCGCACGCGCATTAATTGTATAATGTCACAATGATTAAATTTGTACACGACTTATACGTACCTATATACATAAATATATATTTAATGCACACGCATATATACATAAGCGAGCGAGCGCATTGTACTATATTAAAGTAACCTTCGTTAGTTTTTTTTTTTTGCCTCTTATTCTTCTTCTTCGTTATTTTTTTCGTTCTCGCTGCGGGGGGAGCGGACTACTGTAATTATACAGTATACATTAATACGGACGAGATAAATAACGCTTAAAATATCCCGTCGTGTACAATACAATTATCGTTGCTAATTTAGGTAACATGTATACACGAAAACTGATACGGGCGCGCTTGTCGTTTCCACGGTAGATAAAACTTTGAAAACACAGAAACCCTACGACGGATTACTTTTAATGGGATTACCCTGTCTACTTGCCGATCGTCCATCCGACCATAACCGTTATGATGTCAAACAACGTAATTATCCGTGTCATTCCTTCCAAAGTCACTCGTCTTATCGGCCATAAGTCGAGTAACGTCGTATTCAGGCAGTAAACAATAACAACAATTATTTTACAAGCTCATTTAACTTTATTATATTGTTATACAATTACATAAAAGCGGGACTGTAAATAAGCCGGCAAAAAATTTAAATAATATACATGCAATTGCAGGATTTATAGGTTTTAAAACAGAACCAAAGTTTTAGACGAATAAAACTTTTTCATTACAGGAAAATAGAAGTGTCACTTCTCGTAATGCGTAGGAAACTATAATAGAGTCATTCTGGATTTTAAATGAGATACGAATTAAATGTACAAAAAGCCAAAGTACAGGTACCATAATACTATGATAATCTTTAATAAATTCTGTTCATTAAATTCTTCATCTTTTCAATTTTATATGAAACCATTTCATGCCTATACAAAATTATGTAATTTTAAAATAACCTCCCAAGACTTGATATAATAATGTTTATTAATTTTATTGTATAAATAACTTGAATTTGATTGTATTGGTACTAGCATTAAATTTAAAGCCGACTTATAAGATACGAGTAGAATAGTGCCGCTAATATTTTTATGTACCTAGCGATACCCCAAATAATGTGATAATTTATCAGTATAATAATATGTTACGCCGTTATTTCATAATATCGGAATATCGACTATCGAGTCGATTTTCGATCTATACAAGGTGAGTAGACGGTATAGTTTTAAAAAAATTCCGATTTCATATCATAATATAGTATTATATTATTCAACGTTTGAAATAACCCGAAATCACGAGGAAAATGCCGTCGGGTTTTTTTTGTCTTTGACATTCTACCGTTGAAATCAAATATACTACAGAAAGCCCGGCGTTGGTTTTTTGACCGCGCGTTTTCACGTTTTTATAGTTAATTAATATTCCTTAATTTTTTTTTATCGCATCAGTCTGGGCGGTGCATACGAGCCGCCCAGCGGACGCCGTTCATTTGCTTTCAATGCTATCACACAAAACATTAATAATAATACTAAACTCATCAGTGAAAATATAATTAAAATCATGACCTAAATGAGACCAGTTCATATTGTTTTTATCGTTTCCACCCGATTGAAACCCACAATTTGCAACAATTGTTATGGACGGTTGTCGTAGTTATTATCGTTACGACGAGTGTATCATCATAATAATATTATTATTATTGACTATATACTATATTGTATGCTATATAGTATATACATATAAATTATACGCGACGTTTGCCGCGGCCGCCGTCCGCACCGATCATTCCTCGTTAATTTTATTATGCTGTATAAGTGCGAATCGTAAATCCGAGTAGAAAAATAATAATGGGAAAAACAGAGAGGGAGTAAGAGAGAAAAAGATAACTATTAAAACGGTCGTTTAGTATAGTAGTTGGTGTCTGTACTCTGTTTAATGTAATAATAGTGGAGGCGGCCAGGTCTCCACTCATTCTCTCTCTCTCTCTCTCTCTCTCTCTCTCTCTCTCTCTGACGCGGCTCGCTGCAGTATACCAAGTTCATAATTCGCATAAATATGTAGGTAGTTCTTTAAACAGAAATAGAAAAAAAAAAAAAATAGTATGAAATAAAAAACTAATTTATTAATACCGCAGGAATGTCAATCGACGTTGGTCGACGTCAAATAATGAGACGTTTCCTGTAACGACGACAAGTTCCAGGAGTAGGTACGCGCCAATGTCCTATACTTATGCAGCAGTAATTTGACGTATACATTTTTCGAAGAAGCATATTTGCCATCGTTGTCATCGAAGTCGCGGTAGTAACATGACATGACAATGAAAAAACTGGTTCGCGTCATACCACCAAAGACTAAAATCTATTAATTTTGTTTTTTAATCGCATTTTTCGAATGATCGTTTGAGTTTTTTATTCCGAGAAAAATTTTCATCGATATACATCATATATATACACACATACGACAAGAACCCTCGAAAAAAAATTTTACGTACAACATACCTATACTACTAACGATAATCTTCGTGGTCTATATGTTCCATAATGGTCATAATATACCTATATAATAATGTATCTATAAGTCCTATATACATTCCCATCATTACTCGTATAACTAGTAATGAGTACGTCTATAATAATCTATAAACATAATTTTAGAAGTTTATGACAATGTTAGAATTTTTAAAAGAGATGTGATATATATAAGTGTATTAAGTACAAAGTTTAATTTGATCGATTAATTCGGCTATTTCTTGTTTTGTTTGTACACACACTACGTTTGTAGGATATTACACTTCACGAGAGCTTCAAAATATTTAAATAAAATACTTCAAGAAACGTGTTTGTACTCGAATCATACACAAATATTAAAATGAAATAAACCGTTATAAATATTCAAGTACGAAAATGATAATTACTAAATTAGTTAGGTATCAAATATTTTTATTGTTAATTTTATAATTTTTTTTTTTTTTTTTTTATATATATATATAGATAAAGAAATTTATTTTTTAAACGAATTTAACATTGCTGTAAATTTGTTTATGTATATTAATTGTCGAGCCGTAATAGTTTTGTGTTAATGGCTAAATAAATAAAAAACAAAAAAAAACATTGGTGTAAAATTTTAATACCTAGGAAATGTTGAATAAAAATACTGTTCCATTTGATAGCGGACGAAACGAATGTTAAGTATTAGCCGTCAATAATAAAATATTATAATTGTATGATGAAGCACAAAAATTAAAACTAGACACACACACCCCCGTATTGTAAGTACATATAAATATAATATGTACAACGCCGACGTATTATTATTATTATTATTATTAGGAGGAGGTATATGTATATTAAACAAGAATCGTGAAGTCCATAATATTATGTTTTGTACTGCTGCAATTGTACGATAAACGCGTGTAATATTATAACGAACTATAATAATGTATGCATGTGGTAAATGCAGTGTGTGTATACATCATGATATAATATGGAGTATAATATTATACAGCGTAACCTACGCGCTATAAAACTTTCCACAATCGTTTTCTGTTAATTGGATTCTGCGACGATCTACGCTTTAAATATTACAATGTAACATAGGTGTATGTGTGTGCGTGTAATACCGGGTTAGTATCTCCCCTCTCTTCTAGCCCCTCCCTAGCCATGCGAAACCGAACGCTGTGGACAAATACCCGTATTAATTACCGCCGCCGTCGTCGTTCGGTTACGGTCACAGTTTTCTGTTTTTCCGATATAATAATAATAATAATAATAATAATAATAATAATAAAAATAATAATAAGTAGAAGAAGAAGAATATAATGTCAAAAAAAAAAAAAAAACAATACCTCTACAGCGGGTATATCTGTATAGGAAATAGTATATCGCGCGTTTTGGTGTGTGTCTGTGAAAATAAGGAGTGATGTACATAATATTATTATCTACAGAGGTGTTTTACAACGACGGCGGCGGTGCGCTCGCGGACCGGAAGTATTCGAATTAAAGCATAAAGCGTCCGCGTTTCGGATGAATAGATCCGCCGCCCCCGCCCCCGCGGAAGGATCTAGTTTGTCAGTCACTGTCTCTCGTCGACGTCTCGCACAACACACGCACAAAAACGACGACCGGCGACGGATGATGGCCAGCCATGCGTCAATAAATATGACTAACACCGACAGAGCTATCGGTCGGTTAGGCATATTATTTTATGATTATATATATATGTATGTATTATGTATATATTACGGGCGTTGTTCAGGTCTTCTCCGCGAGTGATGTGTATAATAACAGGTACGTCTATAATAATAATAATAATAATAATAATAACCGATACGCAAGAGTTTAACCTCACGAATTATTCCTACACGTCGCCGGGGTGGGAGTGCTAACCCCGTTTTATATTTTTTTACTATTATTATTATTCCATTTCTTGTATTATATCG